ATCAATACTTCCTGCTTCACAGCTGGAAAAATAAAATAAAATCCCAATCTTAATTTTTTTCATCTTTCAAAAAAAAACCCAAAAAACTATCAGTTCTTTACAAACATATAATAAACTAATTTCTTCCATTTCCATAATAAAGTCTCACTTCCAGCGTTTATTCCAGGAAGGAGGAGAGGTTGTGGGCTAGAGGCAGGAAGGAAAGGAAAGTGGATGTGGGCGGAGGCAAGGCGGGGACTGCCGAGCGTTTCCGATAATGTATTGAGTTGGATTGTTTTTTCTGTTTGTGTATACAAATGCATCATATTACTTATTGTTTAATTATAAAAATTAAAAAAAATTTATTTAAAAAAAATGATTATGAATTTTGTTTAAATCTGTTGAGTAGTGAAATGCTGAACTTGAAGATCCAGCATACACCAAGTAATCAATTGGTTTATCATGCTACCAATTTGAATTAGTATTAGGAAGCTTTAGATTATTTCTTTCCTATGTACTAATGGCTGGATTTGTTATGCAGCATCCATTAAGTGTGCATGTAAAATGGCAAGGGGATGGCTGGAGCACTGCCATGCAATGCCCACCCCATTTGAATGTGTGCTCACATTGCACACATGTTCAAAAGAGGTGGAACTTGTATTCCAATTCTTCATCTTCCATCTTGCTGATTAGTCTCTGTCTGTCTGTCTGTCTGTCTGTCTGTCTGTCTGTCTCTGTCTGTCTGTCTGTCTGTCTGTCTGTCTGTCTGTCTGTCTGTCTGTCTGTCTGTCTGTCTCTCTCTCTCTCTCTCTCTCTCTCTCTCTCTCTCTGACACACAGACAGACAGACAGACAGACAGACAGAGTGCCTGCTTAATCTTGGTGTGGCAAAGATTAAGGCAAAGACCAGGATTTATAAACCACAGAAACAACCCCTTATGCCAAAATCAACATATGTTGTGACTTAACATGAAATATAAAGACAGTTTTTGAAATACGTGGGATGGAATTCTTTGCTCTAGATACATATGGGAAGAAAATGTCAAATTCATTGGAATTAATTTATAACAGAAAATGACCCTTGCCTTTATATCTTTGTAGAGACTGGTTACATTCTGATTCAATTTGTCTGTGAACTGTATCATTGGTCACTGCTAAAAACCATAACAGGAGGTTAGTGGACAAGGTCAGCATTAGCCCACATCTGCCAAAGAAGGAAAACACACTTTTAAAATAATCTTCTCCATTGATCTTTATGAAACAAGTTGTATTACACTGATTTATAGAATATTCTCTTCTTCCAGAACACCTTGTGCAGTATGAAAATCAGCATATCAGTAGCTGAATTAGAGACTTCCAAATGACAGCTACACAAGAATTAAGGAACTGAGTTAGAATGAGAATACAGTTTTACCTAAAATACCATCCCACTCCAGAAGATTGCCTTTCAATATGGAGACAATCCTGAGAGCTATAGATCAGGGCTTTTCAACCTGTTCACCCATTGTACCACTTTTAAGATATGGCAACATCCGAGTACCACCTGTCGCCTAGCAAGGTGTCAAGAACTTGATGATCCCCCCCCAAAAAAGGAAAAAAGTGATAAAGTACAGGTAGTCCTCGACTTACAACAGTTCGCTTAGTGACTGTTCGAAGTTACAATGGCACTGAAAAAAGTGCTCCCCAAGCCACTGCCGAGCAAGACTCCTGCCTGCCCACCTGGTGGCGCTCTTCCTCCTGTTCGAGGTTTTCATTGTTGTGAGCATTTCTGTTGAGGATTGGTAGTGGGGCTGGGGTGGGGGGTGTTTGGTTTTTATTCCCCCCGTCTGCTGGGTGGTTGCAGCAGGTTTTGGTCACTTCACATGACCCTGGGACACTGTGACCGTCATAAATATGAATCAGTTGCCAAGCATCTGAATGTAATTCACAAGACCCTGGAGATGCTGCAACATTTCAGCTGATCGGCGCTTCTTCTGGGCTTAGCAGAAGTGCCAGGATCAGTACTGCTTTCCAGCTGATTGGTGCTTCTTCAGGGCTCAGCAGAAGCACCAGGATCAGCGCCAAGCTCCAGCTGGAGCCTGGCGCTGATCCTGGCGCTTCCACTGAGCCCTGACAGCCCCGAAGTAGCGCCAATCAGCTGGAAAGTAACACTGATCCTGGCACTTCCGCTGAGCCCTGACAGCCCTGCATCTCCAGCCATCTCTTGCTCAGGCTTGTGCGGTGCTGCCACCGGTTCAGCTCATTCCTCTCCCCCACTACCACTTTTCTAGGATGGTCGCGTACCACCTGCCAGGTGCCAATGTACCACAGGTGGTACCCGTACCACTGGTTGAAAAGCCCTGCTATAGATAATCATCATAAGAACAAATGGTGTGTGTTTGTGTGTGCCAGGTTTGTGGAATTCTTTGCCACCCCGCAAGAGCAGTTTCACTCTGGATCACAAGGCAGAGAAAAAAAAGTAAGGGAAGAGGTCTTAGAATGGAGCAGATAATGATGGGGGATTTTTTTTCCTGGATTTTTTTTTCTCCGTAGTCCCTGGCCTGATCTGGCCCATTTCCATACTCAGTTTTTCTTTCATCATTTCTCCCTCATGGAAAAATTGGTTCCAAACTATTCAGTTTTCAAATTCAGATGACAGAGTCCCTGGATCCCTTTACATAATGTCTTTCCAATGTTTTGTTGCATTGGAAAGAATATAAAGACTTAAGACTTCGTGTTATGGAAGAAATTTTGAAAGGCAGTACATACAAGATATTGCTCCCATCTGCTCAAAAGCTGTCTATGCTTTGCTGCTTCTATTTCCCTACCTGGTGAGGTTGTGCTGAACCTGTGTACAGTCTTTTGCATGACACCATATAAAGTAAGTCTGAAAGCAAAGCAGAGAGTAAACGTAGGTGTGAAGCATGGAAACCCATCAATGCAACAACGTGTACAGTAGTTTGTAAGGGAAAGGGTTCAATGTCTTGCATTTTTGGTCAAGAAAAAACAGTATTGCAGAGACGAAAAGCTATTTCTCAGTATGCTATAGCCACGGCTTAAGCGATGAGATACTTCTCATGTTCTCCATTTGTTCTCCAGAGATGCTTGTTTAGAGCTTATGGGACCAGAGCTACAACCACATACCATGAGTTGCACTGGTTACCCTGGCTAATAAGAAATATGCTTTATATCCTTCATCTCCAGATAGAATAATCCCGACATCTCATTTTCTCCATGTCTATTGAGCATCTTGGAGTAACAGGAGGCAAAAGGATAAGGGAGCAACACCTGGGGGGGGGGGCTGCCCTTTTCCTTCTTTGTAAAGATGCCCTGGACGCGTAAATGAAGGCATTGCAATCTCCCCTGAAGCCATTTACTGGCAATGCTAGCATATGCTGTATACACATAGTAGCTATCAGGCTCAGTTAATCTCTGAGTTAGTCTTCTGAGTTAGGAGCAAATGCCTTTCCCCCAACGGTTATCCTTTCTATACACTCTATTTAGGAACCTGTAGTAAAGCAGGTCTATTACCTGAATGCAGATGAAGAGTATTTCTATGGATGGGAACAAGATTTCCATTTGCGATTCGCTCTGAATGTAGATAATGTCATACCCAATTCGGAAACTGTGCAAGGCAACACTGCATGCTCCAAACAATATTAAAGACCCTGTATGGACATACAAAAGTTCGTTAACAACAAACCAGTTACATTTATCAATATCACATGCACAAAGGGCATATTTAGAAAGTGAAAAGCAGATCAAATAAAGCAAATAATTTTTCAGTTTTGCCAGAGTCTACAGTATCTATACAAAAGGTGCCGAATGTGTGGTCTGTACGCTGGGTGATGTTTCTGTGTCACCAGATATATTTCCAGTAGTGTTTGGAAACTATAAGGTGTAACTTTGGTTGAAAAAGGTTGCTCGCTTCTGCCTTAATGTTACAAATAATCAGTTACAGTATTGTGAGAAAGATATATGGCAGCAATACTGACCTCTAATCCAAATAGCCCCTGCATGGGCATCCTGATACAAGATGGCATATGGTTTCCTTCTAGTGAACAGTAAGTAATATGCTATCCAGCTCAAGGATAGGATCTTGAGGATGGACAGGAAAATCCAGACATCTCTCAATGTAATGGCTACTTTGTTGAAAATCATGCTACATATGAATGCACTGCCAAGAAACACTACATTCATGGCTAGAAGTCCAGAGAAGAGCTGCCCAGTCTTCCGGGCCTGCTTGTCACGGGGTAACAATGATGAGCAATGTTGGTGGAGCCACGACTTCTCATAATGGATCTTCCAGGACTCTGGCTGTGTAGTCAACGATTCATCTCCAGCTTCTTGAAGTTGGTGTTCCTCCCCCATTATCTCTTTCCTGTCCATGACAATTGCTTGATAAAGTTACTGCTTCTGGAATTCTTTATCTATGGTACTAAACAAAGTTGAGATTTACTGAAGACTTAGATGTAGATCCTGAATACCCAACATGGCATCTGTAGACCTCCCTTGATAGTGATGAGGTTCCTCGTGCCACCAATTTTTGGGGAGATGGGGCATATGTAAGTTTGTTTAATTAAAACAAATAGGTGCCAAGGTCTCTCATTAAAAAAATGTCATTGTGTCTGCATGGTTGGCTAGCTAGATCAAATAAATAAATACATGCTGAACATTTCAATAATTTCTGGTAATAATATCCTGATCCATCCTCAAGTGAGGATCATTTCTGTCTGAAGCTGTATTGTTTGCTGCAGAAGCAGCATTGAATCAATGTGAATCGTTTGAATCATTTCATGTGGTCTCCGACGTTGTCTCATTAGAGGAGACAGTTCTGCCTTCCAGGTCCTAATTATTCTACCAAAACATTTTTACATAAAAAAGGCCGGATACAAAACAGGTGCCTTTCAATAGCAGTTTGAACTAGAAAGGAAGAATGCAAACATGGAGAACACAAACATTCTAATATTTTTTTAAGATGGGGAAGAGATGTGTGTTATAGATGCAAACCAAGAGGGAATAATAAGGTTGAAGTGGTTGAAACAACATTGATTGATCACTGACTGTCTTGAACTGGAATTGGAAGGGTGGGGATGGGAAGGAATTATAAAGACTGGTTAATTGGAAGTGATGTAAAATCCCAAGAATTCTTGGGAGACCAATTAATTCTCTGGAAACATTCGTAGAGAAAATTGACATGATAGGCAGGTGAAGCTTAGAGCTCTGCTTAGAGTTCTATGCCCACCTGTCTAGAAAAGAGATACAGGTAAGCTGAAGTGGTAGACAGCACTCTAACATGTCAAGTTGTGGAGCAACACCACTAATTTGTTTCCTAGTAAGCTGATATTTTGTAGAAAGAAGTATGAACCTGAAGAGTCCAAAACCTGTTTGCAAATTTCCTAAAGTGCCCATACTGAGATAGGATTAGGAGATCACTGTCATGGTCATTGAGATCAAAAAGCTTCCCCCAGGAACAAAAACTTGAATTACTCATATGTGTGAAGAAACAGTAAGAATGCTTGAAATGTGTACAAAATCAATCATTTCATAATCACCTCAGGCTATGACCGGTATGTGTCTTTACTTGAAGAAAAAAAGTTGCTACCAGCCTCATCTGCTTGTCCAATTATGGAAGGTTTGACTTTGCAAAAAGTTGAGTATCTGAGATCTTTCTCAGTCGAAGTTTGATAGGCTGAATTCAAACATTATTAAACCATTTGTTATAACCATAGTTTTTAAATAAGTTGCAGCAGGTGACTTTCTACATGATATTAAGCACAAACTATGATTTAATACCAATAGTGGAGAATATATATATAGCTCAGGTTGAACTATGGATCACAGAAGCTAAATATTTATTGCACACAAATAAATTGCACGTTACAGATGAACACAGTGTACGAACCCAGACAATATGAATTATGACTTTTGATTCTATTTTGCTTGTGGATCAAGGAATCATGAAAAAAATAGTCCATTAATTAGCATAATACCTGAACTCAATCTATTGAAGAGAAAAAGGGTTTGGAGGTTTTCATTTCCCATGTGGGCTATACTACTGACTTTTTAAGTATTTTATGTAACTTTTCAATCATATTCTCAATGATTTACAATAACTTATTACAATGTAAATTAAAAAAAATAACAGCTAAACTCAGAGGATTATAAAATTATAGAACTTTTATCTCTGTCTAATGCATTTGCCAAAGTATTAGTTTTCTCTGTTCCTCTGTTGTTTTGCTTAAACATCAAAACATTTCTGTTCCATAAAAATATTCTCAAGTACAAGATTAACGTCTTTCAATAAATAACAATATAATATAAGCAAGTTTGGAGAAGCAAAGAAGATTGTGTTAAATCAGAGTTGTGAATTCTTCCTCATGCTGGTCCTGCTCAAGTATGTTGGAATAGAAGGTGCCCCCAACTTCTTTGGACTGCTGTGTTCATTTGGAGGTTTGAGAATGAGAATGTGTTGTGTTGCACTTCTGCAGTGTAATAAAACATGGGAATCAAATGAAAGTTGCAAAGCAGTTCAACTGGCTCTGTGCTAGATATACTCNGAATTTTAGCGGGGTTTTTTAGGGGATTTTTAAGGACAATTTTAATGATCGGCCTGTTTAAATATTTCTTTTTAATTCGGCTTTTAATTATTGTATTTGTATTGTAGTTTTTATGAGGCTGTTAGCCGCCCTGAGTCCCATGAGGAGAAGGGCGGGGTATAAATTAAATTAATAAATAAATAAATAAATAAATAAATGGTTATATCCATCCTTGCTTGAAAACCTCCATGAATTGAGAAGACAGACTGTTCCACTTCTTCACGGCTCTTACTGTCATGAAATTCTTCATTCTTTCAATTTTGGATCTCTCTCTGTTCTACCCTCAACACTACGAAGAATAAATCCACACCTTCTTCTCTGGGACAGCCCTTCAAATATTGGAAGTCTACTATTGTGTCTCCCCTTAGCCTTTTTTAAAGGCTAAACATACCCTATTCTTTTAATCCTTCTTCACATCAGGCCATTCCCAATTGTAGGGGAATTTACATTTTATCTTTTTACCATTACCAGATTGGAAAGTACCTATACAAATGCAGCATTCATGGTCATTCTGTTGCAAGTCGTACCAGCATATTTGGAAAGACAGTTACAAGCGGCAGTGAAAAAACATTGTTGTATTGTTTCTCAATAAAGTAAAGTGGTAATAAATATCCAGCCATCCGGTGTTGCCTCTCCCTTTCAGGCTATTTTGCCTTAGCACTTCTCCTTAACCATTTCCCACCATTTTTAGGTTCTCTCTTTTTCATTCCAAACTTTTCATTTGCTTTCTGCTTTCTTTGCTAAGTGGTTGTAACAGAACAAAAACCACTAAATGATAATAATACTTTGATCCGCCTTCTGAAAGCCCTGAACATTCTATGTAACATGTATTCAGACAACAACTCTGTCCAGGGCATTGCAGCCTATCCTTGCAATCTGCTAGAGGCCTCCTCTGATGTAAATGCCACTGGATTCTATGGGGAGCTTGCTTCTGGGGAAAAGGGGTATGCCATTGCAGCCTAAGTCACTGAAGCCTGAAAGCAAATGCAGAAGAGGATTAGGGCTGGGGCAACAAATGGAAAAGCACCCTCTGGTAAATGATTTGCAGGTTACCAGAATTGAGAGTTGATGCATTGCTGTACTAGCATAACATAAATCTTAGCAAATGAAAAAAATAAGGAACAGAAAAGAGTCTTAAATGCCAGCAAAGAAAAATAATTATTAAATAGGCCAGACACATTTCAGAGGGACACTTTTTTCAGGGGTACTTGCATCAGAATTTATTAATACAATAATGTGATTTGCTTGGGACTTTTTAGCTCTTTGATTTTTATCTTTCCTTCCTTCCTTCCTTCCTTCCTTCCTTCCTTCCTTCCTTCCTTCCTTCCTTCCTTCCTCCCTCCCTCCCTCCCTCCCTCCCTCCCACACAGACAAGATCTTTCATTCACTTTTACTTGGGATGAGAGTTGGTGCCAAGACATCTCAGTCCATAATTTTCTATTTTGCATTAAATCAAAGTTCAGAGATACATATCTGTATTTAAAAGTTTAAGATGCTTTGCTTTTTAAAAAATAATAATAATTAAAGGATATTTTTGAATGCCAACATAAATGTCAACAATTGCTATGCTGAAATTTCTCTAGTCTCTTTTTTAAATTAAAGAAAATACATTTTGCAATTTGTTGCTGCACATTTAAATTTCTGAAAGAACCCCGACAAATTTATCAATTTGTGTACAATAACCACCATTATGTGTCATTTTTCTTTTATTAAATATAATTTTATTAAATATTTTAAAGGAAGATAAATCTGAAATAAGAAATAAGAAAAATAAGAAAAAGGAAAGGAAAAACAAAGGGTCAAAGAAAAAGTTAAAAATACAAGAAAAAAAGTAATAGAAAAATAGGGGGGAAAATAAACTACTTCAAGATTATTGTACGATGGAAAGATTTGGCACTATCCATAAAATAAGAAAAAGGAAAGGAAAAACAAAGGGTCAAAGAAAAAGTTAAAAATACAAGAAAAAAAGTAACAGAAAAATAGGGGGGAAAATAAACTACTTCAAGATTATTGTACGATGGAAAGATTTGGCACTATCCACAGTGAAGGAACAACTAGTGAAATCTGAATCACAACTCTTCCGTGTTTTTCTTCTCATACCTTTCAGGTCATTCAAACATGCAAAATAACATTCACTCTTTTAAAAAACCCTTCTACCTCTATTTTGCTCAGTGTAGGATGAAGAGGGCATATAGGAAAAAGGGGCATCTCCTGGAGCCACCCTGTTATAATTTTGCAGAAGATAGACTCCAGCAGTTCTGTGCTTGGTTTTTGCCCTTGAGTAACAACTAACAAAAACAAGTAACCAACAACAAATTGCACCATCAAAGTATCAATGATAGACAGTTGCTCTTCCAGTTTTTCTTTTTCAGCACTATTAACACTGCATGCAGATGGAGGTGTTATTATTGTAAACCAGCTAATCCAAAAACCAAAAAGGAAAAAAAGGAAAAAGGAAAGAAAAGGAAAAAGAAAAGGGCACAGGCAGCTTTGGCGTTATATAGCCCATTGATACCATACTCACTTAAGTATGGAGCTATGAATGATACCTCCATTTCCAAATCTATGCATCTTTAAACACATATCAGCCACAAAGTTACTTTAGATGCTGAAGTTTCACCACAATCTGCATATGATATTTTGCCTTTGGCTAGACTTAGCCTGAGGATACGCATGACCTTGAGCCCATGAAGGTTGAGGGAATAGATAAATAGTATTAAAAAAAATAAGGCACTCTATCCAGGTCACCGCTTTAAGCCTTTTGTTTAAGAC